TTTGCATAGCAGATAGGTGCAAATGAAGCAGAATCAACCCATCTGTCCCTGTCCTCTTTCTCACTGCAGAAGTGCCAGTATTACCATCAGCTGTCTGAGGTAGCATTAGACACATAAAAAAGCACAACCAGGATAGAAAGCTTTAGTCTGTGATTCACATCAGTCAAGCCTGAACTGATCAAGAATACAAAATGATGACACCTAATGAAAGCAACTCATCTTGACCCATATAATAAATCACAGAATCATAGAACGGCTTTGGTTGGAAGGGACCCCAAGGACCATCAAGTTCCAACCTTCTTGCCACAGGCAGGGCCACCAACCTCCAGATCTGGTACTAGACCAGGCTGCCCAGGGCCCCATCCAACCGGGCCTTGAACACCTCCAGGGATGGGGCATCCACAACCTCTCTGGGCAGCCTGTTCCAGCACCTCACCACTCTCTCTATGAACAGCTTCCTCCTGACATCTAATCTAAACCTTCCCTCCATGAGCTTAAAACCATTCCACCTTGTCCTATCACTATCTACCCTGGTTAAAAAAAAAAAAAAAAAAAAAAGTTGATTCCCTTCCTGTTTATAATCTCCTTTTAAATACTGGAAGGCTGCAGTGAAGTCTCCTTGCAGCCTTTCCTTCTCCAGGCTGGACAAGCCCAGCTCCCTCAACCTGTCTTTATAGGGGAGGTACTCCAGCCCTCTGATTATCTTTGTGGTCCTCCTCTAGACCCTCTCAAAAAGCTCCACATCTTTCCTGTGTTGGGGGTCTGAGACCTGAAGGTACAATAAAGATACAAAGCAGAATACCACAGTGCTTGTTTCCTTAAATACTTCACCCATGCAGTGCAGTCAGACCTGGAGAACCTCTAGTCACTGAATGAAGCACTTATCCCCACACCCAGACATTCTTTGGCTCCCAAGACTGCTAATTAGCACATCAACCCAGTGTAACAGCTGTAGGCTAGTCTAAGAGAAACAACTAATTAGAGAAAGGCTTTACAAAAACCATTAAATGTTAATGGCCTCAGATTATTTCAGCTTTTAGGTTTTTGCTCGGTTTGCCATGTCCTACTGCACTTCTTCTCTCTTTAGACTTCCTATGGCCTAGCCACAAGTTCAGGTTTCTTAAGATTTCACGACAGCTGTCACATTATCAAGCACTTCATAGTCCAAGCAATGAAAACTAGCAAAACTGTGGTTATCGCCCTTCATATGCAAAAGGTACAACGGCAATAGAAATAACAAAGAAAGAATATGCTTTGAAGAAAAACAATGCCTGTTAAAACTTGACTTGCAGTAAGCCAAGCTTTATTTTGTTACAGGAACAGCTGCTGAGAACCTCAGTGCCTCCACATTTCCTCTGTGAAACTCAGAGAGAACATGAGCTATTCCAGCTCTAGATCTTCTGTGCCTTTGATGACAGGCACAGCTCACGTTTTTAGCTTGGGTACATTGATCAGGAGGTCAGTCATCACATCAGCACTGCTGAGTGTACTAATTAACATGTTCAAATGGTCACTGTGTCTTATTGCCTAATTATTTCATAACCAGGGGGTCACGTTCTGCGCCAAATCCGAATGCTCTCAATGACTTCATTATTTTTCATTATTTTATTTATCTAACCTATACATGTTTTGGAGAACACAGTGGTGCTTTCAGAGGTCTGTGTATTTGCCTTGACTACGCACTGAAGCTGTACTTACACATGTATCTCTTGCAGAATTCATTCATGAGGAAAACCATACAAGTTCACAAGTTAATCATTTTCCCGAATGTCAGAAGCCAGGGCAGATCAGGATGTACATTGTGTTGGTAGAGCTGTAAACCAGGCTGCTTTAGTATTAATAGTAAACTTCCCAGCCTCAGTAAGATTTTTTAATAGTTTTTGCAGCAAGTTAAAAAGTTAAAAAGCCATGGGTATTTCTCATAAGTAATTGCAAAGCACAGGAAATGGGCACAATTAAGTAAAAAAGGCTTGAGTTTTCAGTAGAAAAATCAACTGTCCAGGGTTTCCTGATTGAATAGAATGGACATTTTTTCCACAGTAAGAAAAAGCAGGGATTTCAAGAATCCGGTGATCAGCTCCTGTTAGATCCCATATGTTCCAAATCCATGTGTTGTAAGATTTCGTTCCAGCTGCCAGCTGTAGATTGTGGCTTACTAGTTCACATTACATCCATTCAAGCTTCACTACAGAATCAATGACACCAAAAAGGCAAGACTCAGCAGCATAGACCAGTATGATACTGTATGCTTTAGCTGCTCCACCTCACCACATGACAGACAAACAGAACCCACCTTGTGAACCAGCTGCTCACTGGGGTGACCAGCATGCTAACACATTCTGCCATCCTGGTTCTAGGTACAGCAGCATTTGGCAAGGGGAACAGAAACATCTGAGACATAGGCTATTCTGAAAAGACAGATTTTTTTTTTCCAAGCATCTGAGGTAGAAAGTGAGGTAGAAAGCAGTGAGATTTTTGCAGCAACTATTCAGACATTGCAGTCCCTACATTAGCCCCTGTTGATAGCAAGGAGAAAGAAATCATTCTTCTGGACTTCTATTTCATCAGAAAGTAGAATTCTTTCATCATTCCCATCAACTCTTGTTTTCCCTTGGTTAAAAATTATGAGATTCAAGGCAAGTGAAAGCCATCCAACATTCTGCCTCTCCTGTCTGCCCCTCCAACTTTCCCATCTTCCCTCATCCTCAATTTTGCTTCTCATGGTTCCTTACAAAGTATAAGCAGAAAGTAGGTCAGAGACAAAGTGGCACTGTCAGATGACTAGTTTCAAGTCACGGACACGTTGTTGTCTCTGTCGTACCATAGGAAGTTGTTATTACAAATCCTTCAAAGTTTGTTTTAGCTTGAAATGCTATTAGACTTACTCGACTGGCAAAAGAGAAGGCTTTCCACAGGAATTTCATCTGGTTAAGTCAACAGAGCTCTGCCTGCAGAACACAGCTCCCAAACATGAGACTTTATTTTGTATTATTAATTCTTCACCTTTTCCTGTTTATAATGAAAACACTGTGAAATACCCAAACAACTTAACAACTGGTAACTCCCAACTTTGCCCACATGCTCCAACCCCCACCAGAGAGTTAACAGTGGCAAGTAATATATTCTAACAGAAGCATAATTTTAGCTCACAATGGTCCTCCAAACTTCTGCAGAATTTCCAAGTGTTCACAGCTTCAGTGAATTAACAGCAAGAAAAACAGTGTCTGCTCAATTAGTTCTGCGGCCAAGTAAGGCCAGAATGGCAGCTTTGATGGTTTGATGTCAAATCACCTCCACCTGCCTTCTGCCTCCAGATTCCAGTCACACACGAGAAACGTGGTGCAGCAAATAAATGTAGGCTGGTACTTTGTTAGACTGTATCATTACTTATTACAGCAGTAACCTCAAGTAGCGCTTTAAGTCTAATCAGAGAAAATCCCTATTCAGGTTCACTAAATAAAAAGGTACCACTTCCTCTTGTTCTCAAAATAAATAAATAAGATCAAAAACCAAAAGCAAATAATCCACAGCCACAGCAGGGTGTAATTGTGGAGAAAAGAAAGCTCAGCATGGCAAGAAATGTATCACAGGTGAGATCTTAATAAAAATCCACAGCTACAGGGGACAGTGGGACCGAAGCTTAACTCCACATTCTTTTTGTGTTGCTCAGTGAAAATAACAGACTTTAAGTTGGATGAAACAAACATCCATGTAGAGTACTGGACCTCTTCCCTCCATATTCCACCTCTGAGTTTAGAGCATAGATGATCCAGGGTCTTAACTCTTAAATTTCTTTAAGAAAATATTTAGTTACCAAATATTGCTGTCACAGATGTCATTAACTCTTGGATTCAAGTGACTGATAGCTCCAAATAAAGTGGTAAAATTGCGTACCACACCTAAGAAAAACTGCTCCAGTACCATTAAGCTGCTATGGGTTTCCTTTGGAACAGCAATTTACAAGTGTTCTGGCTCATAAACTAATGGCACACAATATCTTTTGCATCTTATGATTTATCATAACATGGATATTTTTAGTTCATTTCATTTGTGATAGTTCAGCGTGAGATTATCAACACTACTTAGGGTTATCCTCAAAAATTCTTTGGTTACCTGATAAAACTCTGTTCAGAGAACAAGGTTAAATAGAAAAGTCAGCAAGAGACTTTTCAATTTCATAAGGTCATCCCTGCAAATTACACTATAAGTCATGTGCCTTAAGCAGCTATTAAACTTTTGGTTAATACTTTTTCAATAATGTTCATTTAGTGCTTCCTTTCTGAACACAAGTATCTTCACTATTCCAAGGCAACAAATGTAATAGTCAGATCACTTTAGAAAGCATATTGCTAATGGCAAGAAATTCAGCAAGTGCCACAGTTGTGTAGTTTATTCATTTTGCAGCAATCATCAGTCCTACACATGGACCTCAAAACTTAGCCCAGTCTTCTTTTTCTAACCACTAGGGTAAGTGGTATTGATTCGCTGAAATTTAATTTCAGTGTTCAAGACTATCTATTTTACGTCATACATATTGAAACTTGGACTTTCTTACATAAAACTGGTCTTCCTTCCATGAAATTCCAGATTCACATAATCACAAAACATGAACTATGTCAGTACATTTGATGATGATTCTTGTCAACTTTGCTTCCCAAATTCATTCTCCCATTTTCACAGTCTGAACTGTAACTCAAAAGCAGAAGTAAGGGTGGCAATAACATTAATGACAGATATTCACCTCCTTATTAACTCATTTTAAGGGCTACAGAAGAACAGCAGCCTGCAGAAGAGTTATTTATCCATAAGATTCACTGTTAGAAATCTTTTCTGTCTGCTGCCAGCTACAGTTCCCTCGGCACTGCTGATTGCATAAGTCACTTGGAAAATGACATCAGATCTTCACCATCAGAAAGCAGTGGTGTTAAGCAATAGCTGATCACCGAGTTCAAATATATACAAGAGGTCTCTGTTATACTACTGTTATTCACATTTCTTACCTCCAGACAGAATCCTCTGATACAGATAAGACAGTATCAGTTTCCAGTGGCTGGTTATTCAGCTCAAGCCAGGGACTGAAAGAGAAAACAAAGATAACACTCCTGTAAATACAGTCATTTCAAAAATGCAACTCTTTTAGGCTCTTTTGTTTCTTGATCCTTTCACCAAGTTCTCTCAGCTGACTCAAAAGTTGGCCACCACTGACACTGTCATCACATTTTGCATTGAAATACTAACATTCTATTTTGGGGGCGGGGGAATGAAAAAGTAAAATTGAAAACATTTTTAAAAGATAGTTTTTAAATCAATTTCAACTATTTCAACAGGGAGTTCACATAAAGAATTCAGAAGAAAAAGCAAGTAGCATAGGAAAGACAGGAAAAGATTGTTTAATAACCAGGAGTTCAGGTTGTAATGTATTGATTTAACAAAAGGTAGGCTAACTAGCTCATACAGATCTGGATTTTCTAAGCATTGAGACTTGACAGGAGTGAGGAAACAGTGTTACTGTTTTTCATGAAATATCCCTTTAATCTAGGCCTTGCTTCACCAAAAATACATTTTCATGAGTATATCCAGTGCTACACTGTTGATAAAGAAAATCAGAAAGAGTGAGCAGAAGTAATAAAACTTCTCTATCTGGCAGAACAGAAGACTTCAAATGGGCATGTATCAAACCCAGTATTCTAAGTACTAATGAGACTTCAAACTGGCTACCGAGTTCAAGGGATTTGTCTCAATGACAAATTCTTGGGTGCATCCTGTATCGTATTTAATGTCTAAACATACAGTTTGAATGTTTAAGTCTCAAAACAAGATGTAACTTTCATAAAAGAGAGCTCAAATCAGGGTGCCTATACTCAGATACTGTTTTCAAAATGCACGAATAAATGTCCTTGAAAGTCTGTTACGCAACCTGCTTGTAGAGATTTCCCTGTACTGCCACAGTAATACATTATCAGGGAAGAAAAGGCTTTATTTGGTCATAAATGTTCCATCCTATTGCATAGCACTAATTCTTGCTGACTTCTGCTTGGAAAAAGCACCGAATCATAGAGGCTGGAAGGAACCTCTGGGGATCATCTAGCCAAACCCTTCTGCTAAAGCAGGTTCCCTACAGTAGGTCACACAGGAAAGCACCCAGGTGGGGTCTGAAAAGTTCCAGAAAAGGAGTGTCCTTCCACAATCTCTCTGGCTTCTGTAGGGAACCTCTGTGCCTCTATTATTCTCCAACAGAAGGTTTCTTCTGGAGTCTATCCAGTCACTGCAATGGAAACGTGCAGCTAGAATGTTGTCCTGCACACATTATACAGTGAACTGAAACTACAGAAACACATAAAAATTATTTTTGACAGTCTCAAAACGTCTGTTCCACAATTGTAACAAATCTGCTGATGGCTTTAAGAGTTCAATTATGCAGCACTGTGTTGAGTAACAGAAAGCCCCGTACTTTACCACCTTTCTCTCCTAAGCTCTGTGACAACAGGTTCCTCTCTTCCTGATCCACTCAGCTTCTACAGGAGGAACTGAGTAACACTTGTTGTAAAATGCTGAAACCCACTGAACAACACAGAGTACAGTGTTGTGGGTGGTCACACAGAACTCAAGGAAAATAAATTCGGCAGGTACATCTTATGGGGAAAAAAAAAAAA